AAGGGGTGGACAATTTTTATTTTGCTTCATTAGTTTAAAGCTATGAGATACTAGACCACCTATATATTCATAAGTTTTCACATATCCCACTGGTGTCATATACAAACTGCCTATAATTTGACAGAGAAAACTCTTCATTGCTTTCTACATCAGTTGTAATTTTTTTTGTAAAACTGAGGCCACTAATTTTTAAAATCTAAAATATCTCCGTAGGTTATTTGTTTATTGATAAATGGTTTAATTTGTCGAAATGACAATATAATTTCCTCATATTCGTCTGGAATATATACACGATCGCGTCTTCTAACGCATCTTTTTAGAACTCTAAAATCCCTATCACAGGGTAAGAATGAGTGGTCTCTGATCGGAAAATATTGGAAGATTTTTTTAAAACGCGTTGTTGCTACTATTTTGAAGAGAAAATTAACAGAATCAACTCTCACAGAGCGATTTTCGCAACTAATAAAATAATATTCAAAACATCAACTTCAAAGTAACAGTAATGAGTCTAAAAACAGTATATATCCTGGACTTGTACTGTTCTTCCACTCGTCCAGTTTCAACGTAATTCATATTGCCGAACCTATGGTGTGTACTGCACTGTTTTTGATCTCAATGGGTGGAGACACATGTTAATATCAATTTGGCTATCTTAACTCTAAACGTCATTTTTTGGACTAGTACTGTTCTTTGACTCACTGATTCAAACATAAGGCTCTAAAGCCCACAAAAGGCTTTCGAAATTACATTAGGGAAGTATATTTGCATTCTTAATACCAATTATATTACCAGTTGAATGTATTTTCCTCATCAACTATTATAGTGTATAGTGTTTTTCAGGAAAGTGGGTAATTAATTTTATTTACAACTATATATGTAATGTTGTCATTACTAACGTCATTGAAAGTCGGGAAGTGTCACATTACACACCTCTACTTCCCGCCCTCATTTCATCTATTCTAGATGAATATTTTTTATATTTAAAAAAAATAACACTTTTTTTGACAAATTTTATAATACCTATTTAATGGCAAACAATAAAAAACAACAATGAACTAAAATACAACAAACTACTTATTGATATTTATTATTCGCGAATTTAATATCCGGCTTTATCTGACATTTATTTATATTGGTGACAGTTGTTTACCCCGTAATCACTGTAACAATATTTTTACTTGATTATTCTGAGAAAACCGCGCGCTTGATAATTTGTCGTTTAATGTAATATTTTAGGTATGTACAGAACGAAACAGAGATTTATTAACTTTGATCGAAATATGATGGTTGTAAATAAAATAGTATACAAACCTCGGTAGGAAGTTTCATTCCTGTCTCGAGATCATAGCTAACCTCGACGCTTCGCGTCTCGGTGATCTAACTAATCTCACGACAGGAATGAAACTCTTCCCACCTCGGTGTATAATATACAGTGTGACAGCAGTGTAAAGCAAGCGTAGTAGACGTAAATACTGATTAATTCATAAAACGCATGCTCGCTTCTCAGATATACATTCTCCCACAAATCATCCCCACTAAAATAAACAGCTGTCTCTTTCTAATGCAACAGCCGATGCGACAGCTCTGTCGGCGTAATTATAAACACAATCTGAATGATTTCAATAAATAAAGGCTTAATTATGAATGAATGGATTAGTCTAGTCGTTGGGTTAAATCAACAACAAAAAACTACCAGACTAATCCATTCATTCATAGTTAAGCCCTTAGCTGTCGCATCAGCGGCCGCATTAGAAAGAGTAAGATGCCTTCAAACGAATGTGAACGCGTTATATCGCGTCTCGATATTACATAAGAATCGAATTCTGTCGAACGAAGATAGCCGTCTCGATACGTGAGGTGTCCAAAGAAGGGATTCCCACTGCAGGTGGTACAACTATGATTCCTGCTTTACACCGTTGCTACACTGAAAATAAATGGTGTACTTATCTATAAATCACCTTCAGCTACAATAATAAATGCAACCAGAAACTACATTAAACAGATAATAACTGACATTAAAAATGCAAAGATACTGCTTTAATATCAATTTAAAGCCTTTTGTTCATTTTAGTCAATTTTGAATTATAACCATAAACAATCCTTATAACAAGACTCTTCCATATTCTCCCAATAATAATTTGGCAACCACATGGGTAACACGATGAAGGGTTACAATTTGGTTAAAAAATAAAAAATTAGTCTAGTAGTTGTTCGTCACTGGGTTGAATACTATGGATATGACCATTAAAAAGTGACACCACATTTCACACCCTTAGAATCCATGTCATAGTTGTCAAAAATTACGCAAATTTGAATATTTTGGCATTGATTATGTCCAATTAGTATTTTTTTATTGTTTTGTGAAAAAAGTACGATGAATCTGCTAAACTTACGCCCGTATGCACCGTACCCGTTTAATCCAGATCAAGGGTTTAATCGTGTTTAGTACCATTTTTAGCTATGGTACTAAACGCGATTAAACCCTTGATCTGGATTAAACGTGTACGGTGCATACGAGCGTTAACTGTACAAGTTACACAATTTTTTTTTGTTAGAGTATTGTTACTAGTCATTACTGACTAACCACCTACAATTTAAATCTAAAAATCTTATAAACTAATTACTTATCTAAGAAGTCCCCATTTGGCTGTCTTAATTGTTTCTATAGGAAAGCATCACAAGGTTCACTGCACTAGCTCAAATGGCTTCTTCCTTTGGAGCCTTCTGTTGAGTGTAGAGTTGTCCAGTAATTGCAGCGCTTCTTCGTTGACGTGGGAGTGGAGTCGACTCTCATGTTTCGTAGCAAACCTCTTTATTTCTTCTTCGATTGTTGGCATCTTCAGGTCTCTATGAAGATAATCGTTTCGGTAGAACCAAGGTGCATCAACAATGCATCTTAGGAAAACTTGTATCATGTTGATATTACTCTTGCTGGCACATCCCCATAGCTGTATGCCATAAATCCAAATTGGTTTTAGAATTTGTTTATAAATCAGCAGTTTGATGTGCACTGACAATTTGGATTTTCTTCCTAGGAGCCAATACATTTTTTTGAATTTAAGTTCAAGTTCTTTACGCTTTTTTTTTATGTGCTCTTTCCATTTAAGTTTTACATCTAGGTTCATCCCTACGTATTTGGCCGAATCGTGATGCGGACACAATTAAGAACGAAAAGAAATCGTTTGGATTAAGTTTTCTTCACTAAGTATGAGGTTTGGCAATTTAAAAACCAGATTGCGCTTTCTGAACGTAAATACCAGAACTTAGCAGAACACAGTTAATAAGGTAGTTTGAACCCTCCCCTCTCCTCTTCTTTTTTCTTTCAAGCGTCGTATGAGTAGAACACTACCTCGTTAGGTTGCCGGAATTTTGGAGAGTTTAAAAATCGGTCAGCGTTTGAATCTTACATTTCTTGTTAAACTGAAAAAAATTTGTTAACAGATGTTTATGAGGATCATTGCATGTCATGTACTCAAGCATTCGAATGGCACAAACGGTTTAGCGAGGGTCAGGAAGACGTTGAAAACAACAAACATCCGGGACGCCCCACTTCGTCGAAAACTGACCAAAAAATCGAGAAATGCAATCAAATCGTCCGGAATGATAGACTTCAGGGTCAGGCAGCCAATCAGCACTATTCCATCGAGGTCCTGACTAAACTGAGAACGAGTAAGGAAATACGACCAAATCTGTGGAAAGATGACTCGTGGATTCTGCGTTGTCCGTTAAGCAGTTTTTAGCACGTAAACGCATCCCAGTGCTCGATCACCCTCCGTATCCGCTGGATTTGGCACCCTGGGACTTTTTCTTATTCCCAAAAATAAAAAGCGTATTGAAGGGACCCATTTTAAATCTGTGAAGGATGTGAAAAAAAAACGGTAATCTGTTTTGCAGGGTGTCAGCTGATGAGCTGCAGCACTGCTTCGAATAATGAAAGAGACGTATAAAGCTCTGTGTAGATAGATAAGGGGAGTAAAATTGAAGGAGATAAAAGCTAGATTGTAAATTTGTTTCAATAAACCATTTTTTTACTCATCCGGTTTTTAAATAGCCACACCTCGTATTGGGACCGTTTAGTACTTTTTACAATGCTTAAAGTTATTATTTCATAAAATATTTCCAAAAAATCCACGATATCTAAAAATCTGGTCAGAATTTGTGGAAAAATGGCCAATAGAAGCCTAAACAAAATAGTGCGTTGTATCCAATTCATTTTAAAGGCGAATTCAGTAACTTCTTTGCTTTTTAACAGTCAATTCACTTATCAGGTGGTATCGGTTCTAGAAACAATTTTCTACTTGCTATTTCAATATAAATTTAGGTACTCTGTGTGATTATTTCAAACATACAAATAAATTTATAAAAATTGTAGGGACGAATACAAACAATTTAAAATTTTTAAAATTTCACATCGTTTGAAGGTGTATTCGAAATAATAAGTATGTTATGTGCTTTATTTGGCAATAAACAAGTTTATTTTTATTATTTTGACAAAATTATGTAAAAATCTTATGAGAAGCCATGTATTTTGAACAGCGGTACTAGCACCAGCGCCCTTGCGGTGAATTAAAGAAGCTCAATTAGCGTTCGTTTTTTGGGACCCTATTTCGAGTATGCCGATTCGCCTCCTTATCTTTAGGCTTCATAGTACAAATAAATTGAATCATAAAATAAATTAGTGTTTTAAAACACAACAAACTGAATACATAAACGTTACTATAAATACAAAGTTCCGAACCCGAGAGTCAGAAATGGGTTCAAGCAAGAATTCAGATAGTGTAGGAGTCATCATGCTTGCGCAATAAATAAATCAAATTAATTTCTGACCTATCATGGATTATTTATTGAAACAAACCTGAATACGACCCTGCTTAGACTACCTTCTATACCCCGCCCATTGGGGGTAATTTTTAATAACACGTATCTTATGAGAAACCCCATTTGTATTATACGTCCATTGATCACATCCAATTATTGACATTTTTTTATTTTAATTTCAGGCGCCACAATGGCCCCCCAACAACGCGTCGCCTCAAAATCCGACTATATATACATCCCCCTCAAAGGTCCCTCCAAACCTAATGCCACTCCTCAACACCATCACCACCACCATCAACAAAACAGTACTCCTACCACGATTAGCCCATTAAACACCACAGAGTCAACACCGAAATCCACGAACTCCGTTACATCGAAGCCGCCCCTGCCCAAGCAACCGCCGCGCGTTGTCCACGCAAGCGTTAAATCTTCGGCGGCGGCATCGGCGCATGAACACCGTCAACAGCGCACTGCCGCCTCCGGAGACAACCGGCAACATCGTAGGCGAACTATCGATTCCACCGCTGGCGGGCCACTGTCCATGGAGCCCATGGGGCTTATCGAGACCGATTTAGATACGGAGGTTACCGTTATCACAAACAGTGCCAATGTGAAAACCAGGAGTCTATTGGACCTGGGGCCGCAACCCCATAGGTTGACGCTCGCCGCCGACCACCAGGGCAAAGACCATCCCCACCAGGCTAGGCCACATAAGTCCATGGAGTTCCTGCTTGATAAACAAAACCTTAAGGTGGTCGAGGTAAGTTATCTTGAGACTCTTTTTTTTACGTTGTTTGGTATTTTTAAAAATGCAGCGCCTTTCGTTTTCAACTAAAAGATACATTTTAATTTGCGACTAATATAATTTTTTAAGTGCTTAAATTAAAATAAAAATTTCATTAAGATTCATAATTTGAATACGGCATAGCTATTTTAAAAACATTGTGTTAAAATATATAATTTCTACACAAATAAGTATATTAACTGACAAATTTTAGTAACCTCTCCCCACTAGTGTAACAACTGTCTTCTTGACAATTGTTGCTTTCTTTAACAACGCATTTTACCAAAAGTAGTAAGTAAATAGTTCAGTTATTAGACTAAATGTTGTGTGAAACTTAATTATTTTATATTTAGAAAATATTAAACTATAAAACATTCGTTAGTTATGTTTTGATATAATTAAAAGAATATTTTTGAATAATTAGTTTTTTTATTCTTTGAACAATGATAGATTTGATACGAAAATACGAACTGATGTATGAAAAATGAAACTTTTCTTTGAATTCTAAAGATCTGACAACAGACTAATATAATTTTTTAAGTACCTAAATTAAAATAAATAGTTCATTAAGATTAATAATTTGAATGCGGCATAGTTATTTTAAAAACATTGTGTTAACATAAATATTTCTACACAAATAAGTATATTAACTGTCAAATTTTAGTAACCTCTCCCCACTACTGTCTTCTTGATAATTGTTGCATTCTTTAACAACGCATTTTACCAAAAGTAGAAAGTAAATAGTTCAATTATTTGACTAAATGTTGTGTGAAACTCAAATATTTTATATTTAGGTAATATTAAACTACAAATCATTCGTAAATTATGTTTCGATATAATTTAAAAAAATATTTTTGAATAATTTTTGTTTTTTATGCTTTGAAAAATGATTTGATACTAACTGATGTATGAAACTTTTCTTTGAATTCTAAAGATCTGACAACAGCTAGCCCTTTGTTTAAAATAAAAAGTGATTTTTTACTTAAATAATTTTGTGAAACTATGGATACTTATCCATCATTCAATATTTACAATTTATAGTATTAATCATGCATTTTTATTTTTGGATAATTTCCGCCTTTTAAAATTTTAGAGGTTAAATTAATAATTTGTTAATTTTGAGTAACTTTAATAATAAGGAATGTTTCAACTAAAAGATACATTTTATTTGCAACTAATGTTATTTTTAGTATTAGTTTAAGTACATTAAGATTCATAAGTTGCTGAATAGGACATAGTTATTTTAAAAAGATTGTGTTAAAACTGTTAAATTTTAACTTTCTCCATACACAGTAAGTAACCTTTCCCCACTACCGTAACTACCTTCATAATTGTTGCATTCTTTAATAACGCATTAATCAAAACTAGTAGGTAAAATAGATCAGTTTATTTGACTAAATGTTTTTGTGAAAAACAATTATTTAATATAAAATTACAAAACGTATTTTGCAAATGGTAATGTTTCGATATAATTTAAAAATTTGTTATTGCATTTTTTATGCTTTGAATAGGGATACATTTGACACTAATTTATGAATGATAAATTTGTATTTGTAACTTTTCTTTTGAATTCTAAAGATCTGATCTCTTAATAATCATCAATAAATATTTATAATTAGTTTTAATCATACTTTTTTGTTTTTGGATTGTTTACGACTTTTAATAATTTGGAGGTTAAATACATTAATAATTTTTTGTTGATTTAAAGTAACTTTAATATTAAGGAATTTTATAAGGAAAATTAACAAAAAAACGAAATTTAAAAAATTCTTCTTGTATTTTTGTTTTTACCGTTTTACTATTATTATAATAAACGGTGTATTCTTTTAAAAAAACAATTATTATAAACAACTGATTCTTGGTGCAATCGAACTGCTCTTGTAGATTTGATTTGAATCTTTCTTTGCTTAGCCGATTTTATTGGTATTCATATTTGATACATATATCGTCAAACTATTTAATTTTTAGAATTCAACGACATGTTCACATATTCGAACTGTTTCTATATTTATTTCCAACCTCTATAGTTCTTCCGCCAAAATATTAACCTTACCTCTTTGCATATGACAGATCGATCACCCATCGGTAATGGATTCAAGTTCCTATATCCTGTCATCAAATATTTAATTATCTTCCTCTGGTGTTATAAGTAATTAAATTGGTTAACTTAAGCTCTCTCCTTATTTCATTCTCTTTACTTCTTTCTTGTGATCTCGTTCCATTCAAGCGCGTAGTTAGGTTGTTTTCACATTATTGGTGAATGCGCAGCGTGTTATCTTAGAATATGGTATCAATGCAACGTCTAGAGTTCATATGTGTATTTCCAGAAAAAAAGAGTGATTTTTATAATGAAGTTTTTAATTTTTTATATATTTATACAGGGTGTTTCAGAATAAAGTACCTTAATTTTGGGGATTTGTAGATCTTAATCAATTATGAAGAAAAGCTAAATATAATTTTCCTATAAACGTCCCAGTTTTCATTCTACAGGGTGATAAAGTGAATTTCGTAAATACATATATTCTAAATATCTTCCCTTACAGTAAATACTTTAACTTAAAAATATGTATATGATAGGTAATCGTTATTATTATTATTATTATTATTATTATTATTATTATTATTATTATTATTATTATTTCGATAAATTACTGTAACCCATTGACGTAGAATGAAGGACTAAAGAAACAATTTTATTCAAAACATTTTAAACACCTTACATTTCATAAAACTTAAGATTAATAAATATTTCTCACGCCGTTCGTCACAAAAAAGGGACTTCTGGTTGATCTTTAAAAACTATTCCATTTTCGAGGTGATAGAACTGATTTTTTTTATACAGACTGTTTTGAAACATGTCTTAAATATGGCTAATTTTAAGTTCAATTTACTTAATTAATTAATTTTGTCAAATGCAACACACTGTGTTATTTTCGCATAAAATTCCTTATAAATGTACCTATCCAACGATACCAACATGTCCCAATAGTGCGTAATTTATCGATAGCTGTTTTATTATTGGAAATAGGAAAAACAAATTAATATAAAAGTTGTATGACCATGTTTGATAAATATTCTTAAATATATAGGGTGGTCCATAAACGAGGGGCTGACCACACTTATACATTTTTATATTTGTTTTCACATCGTCAGACCACTGTAATAGACTTCATTTATTTGCTATGTTGTATATAGGGTGTTTCAAAATGAGGGATAACGATTTTCTCATTTTTTAAATGGAATACCCTATATGTCATACCACCAATTAATTAATACATGGTATTCCATTTAAAAATCATAACCTCACGTTTTGACACACCCTATATACAACATAGCAAATGAATGAAGTCAATTAAAATTGTTTGACAATGTAAAAACAATCAAATGTGTATTACTACCTGCAAAGTGTTTTGCTTTAAAATAGTATAGATTTGGTCAGCACCTCATTTATAGACCACCCTCTATATTTAAGAATATTTGTTAAATATGGTCATAAAACTTTTATATTCAACATTTCTTCGTATTTCTAATAATAGAACGGCTATCGATCAATTATGCACTAATGTGACACCCTGTATATGTGTTATTGACTAACACATTGATATTATTACATAGGCAAATTTATAGGGAATTTTATGCCAAGATAATATACAGTGTGTTGAGTTTGAAAAAATTGAGTAAATTGAACGTAAAATTAGCCATATTTTAGACATGTTTCAAAACACTCTGTATAGAATAAACCAGTTGTACAGTTGTATCACCTTTATTCGTTAGCTTAGTATTTTATAAGACGGTATATTAAACAATTTTGAAATTAATGTTAACCTACCTAAATTATGATAATTTAATTTGGGGCCTGCATCATTCTCTAATTAAAAAAAAAATTGTTTGGTAACACCGTAATATTTTTTAAAAACATTCTAGGGTTAAATGCAGTATGCCCAAGCCATTCTAAAAATAAAATAAAATATAGGGTGTTCTATTTGAAAAACATACATTTTTATTTGTCAGGCAAAAACGCAACACCCTGTATATCCAAAAATATTTTTAAAATACTTATTTTTCAAATCCAACTTTTAATAAAACTTGTTTGCTTGTCAATAACACAAATTGAAATATTGAACAATTACGAACTAATGGGATCCTGTATATAAATTTTAATTTTCAATTTGCAGGAATATTATTATTTTAGATGAAAATGTTTGAGAAACTCTTTGTTTTATTGTATTTATTTTATCTCTATTTTTGTTTAAAATAACGTTTAAAAAAAATATTGATGTTGATTATGGCTTGGGGGGGGTAATTACCCCCATTACCCCCCCTCCCCTTATCTACGCCCTTGGTTCCATTTATTATGATATTGGGCTATGATATTTTCTTACAAATTATAACTTCGATATTCGATATATCTCAATTCAACACTGTTGTATTCCCACTTATTGATAACATAATTAGTCAATATAATTGTCAAACCAGCGTTACATGACACATTAATTATATTTTCAAGAATAATACCACATGATGTGAGAATTTTTTGAGAACATTTTGTTGTTTCTTTGTAAAGTTGTATAATTTGTAATGAAACAACAAAATATTTCTTAAAAAAAATATCTCACTGCGTGGTATTTGGAATGTTATGTTGGGAATGGGGTGTTAATTCACTGCGACCTAAAAAATCTATTGTCGCTAATGCAGCAAGGAAATGTATCAATGCCTATAATGACCCTTCCAATCTTATCTTCTCAAGGAAGTGTAGAATATGGAGTGGCTTCAAGTTAGGTAAATCTCCCTCTTCTATTTGATATGCTCCTAGATATAGTGCCCTTGGATTCTGGAGTGCTATACATGCAGTTGGAATGTGAATGGGGGTTTCGTCCTCCTCCTCACTGAATCTGCACTCACTATATTTTACTACTCTCCGTTCACTAAGGTGTCCTTTTCTCCGGCAATGTCCAGTAAGGATCCCTGTTACAATA